TTGCAGGTCAACCTGTTGCCTATTCTGGTTTCCTCTTGGTAAGTTCGCAGCCTGGGAGTGGGTTCTCAGGGCTCCGTGCTCCCCAACGCCCTTCAGGGAGGGGGCCTTGGACGGAGCCCAGTGCGTCTCGGAGTCCGCAGGATCGCCGGGGCCTGGGCACGCGGGGTCGGGGAGGCTCCTGACCTGATTATGAGAGGGTGCGGCCGGTCCCACACGGATTCCGAACCCTGGGAGTTCCTCGAGCCGCATCCAGCACCCTTAGCGAGCAGGTAGGTGGTGCAGAGCGTTTGCCCGGGCTGGATAGGAAAAACCGCGGAGTGCCTCCTGCCTCTCCCTGGCCCCGGTGACTCCCGCGAGGCCTGACCGCGCGCAACGACCTGTGGCAGTCGCTTCACAGAGTAGGTCTGCCAGTCCGGACTGCCGCCCGATCCTGGGTGTGACAGCTGTGGGTAGCGACACCTGTTCAAAACAGCCTCCCTGCACTTGGAGACTTGGGTCCCGCCAGTTAATCTAGTTTGAGGTCAGGAGACCTGTCCCTCGGGAGTGTCGATATTTCTTTCCGTGACCCGATCAGAAGCTTTGCTGTGTCCGAGACACCCTTGCCATCTATCTCCTTTTCTCTGAGATGGGAAAGAAGTTTGAGGAAAAGGAGGAAAAAAGGAAAAAGGAGAAAAAAAAAAAAAAAAAAAAAAAAAAAAAAAAAAAGTTCTTTGGATACTGTGAAGCTTCAAAAACTTTAAGGGCATTCGGCCTTGATCTCAGAACTCAAGCCAATGTCAGTGAGGGCTGAGAGCGGCATTAACGCGAGCTGTGTCTGAGAGATTTTTATGTTTTCCAAGAGCCTAAATGCTGCATCTTCTCACCCTGTAGTCCCACCCACAGGCAGTGAGCGACCTTGGCGTAAAGACAGACTTTGTGGCTCTCCTGCTGCAGGGGCCTCTATGCTCTGTTAGTCCACGGGGGCAAAAGAAGTCTGGGTTCAAATCCCACACTGTCAGTAGTGTAGCATAGTGTCACTTCCTTCTTGCTCATGATTGTGTCAAAGGACTAACTGAAGAAACTTAGGATGCCCTTGGTAACAATGAACCTTAAAGAAATGAACAACTGTGAACTTTCTTAGCTTTTGGTGGGGCTACATACCGGCATCTGTACATTCAGTGCTGTGGCTGGACCGAAGAAAAAAACGCTAATTTGACTCTGTCATCTCATCTTTCTAGGTGATCTGGGCAAGAAGGGGGGAGGTTTCATCAGCCTGTCCGCCACAGAGCTATTCTTTTCCATCACTTGAAGGCCCAACAGACCCTAATCTTACCTCCCTCACCTCCCGACCTTCCATCTGTAGCTCTCCACAGGAATGTAGCATTTGGTAGTTCGCAGCAGATAACACGGGGCTGAGGTCACTAGGCAGGCCAGGTACTTCATCTTCCATGTATCAGGGCCCTGCCCCTGCAGCAGCTACACTGTCTCCCAGGGGCCTTGTGCCTTGTATTTCAAACAAGAGCACTTGGTTCTCTCTTCTCCCACTTTCTTCCTCTCTTTTGAACAATACTCTTGGAATCCAACAAATTAAACTTGTCAAAATGGAGCTCTGAAGCACTGCCTTTCTATGGCTTCTCCCTGACTTCCCTAGTGTAGTAAATGGCACCTTCCTTGCACCAGCTCCCAAGAAACAATGTTAGATTCTTTTCCCCACCTCCCATGTGCACAGAGCGCCAGGAATATAGCTGCCCATCCCCACCTCTGTGGTTTCCATACTGGCCACACCAGCATCGTTCCCCCTCTTGGTCTCTTGACTTGTCACCTTCCTTCTATGCTGGCTTCTCAAAGGCCTTAGAACCTCCGGAGAATTCTGCAGTGCAAGTCAGCGCTTCTGCTTCCCATTGATTCCCCCGTTTCACACCAAATAAAACCCGAAAAGTCCTTCCCACAACACCTTACAAGCTAATCTCTTTGACCTTGGCCTCCACCCCTCTAAGCTTTCCAAACCTCTTCACTCACCTACTTTCTCTTCAAATACAACAAGCTCTTAGAACTTTGGGTGTTTGAAGAGAAACACACATCTTAGGACTTTTGCATCTGGTTTGCCTTCTGCCCGGGTATTTCCTCCTGGAGTTCTGTCCCATTGTCTCATTTTACTATCTTCATAATCAGAATTACTTTCTGGACTTGCCGTCTAGGTATGTGCTGACAGATCTGTGACCAGTTCCACTCCAATAGTATATAAATTGGATGTGGAGGGCACAGTGACCTTGTCTTTCTTAGCCCTGACGGGGAGGGCAAATAAGAGACAAGTAAACAAACATGTGTAGTTGCAGATTGTGGTGCTGCATAAGTAATGCTTGCTTGCATTTCAGGCACTTTAAAAGCTTACATTTAGGGCTGGTGAAAGGGCTCAGCAGGTAAAAGAGTTTGCTGTGTAGGCCCGATGGCTGAGATCAAGCCCTGGAACCCAAAGTGGAAAGAGAGAATCAACTTACAAAAGCTGTCCTCTTATTTTTCATACTGTGCTTGTGACATGTGCACACATTCACACAACCGTCTTACACATACAGTAATAAAATGGATGGGCATTTAAAAGTGGCCCATTAAAAAAATTAAGCTTAAGGGAGCCAGAGAGAAGGCTCGGTGGTTAAGAACACTGGCTGCTATTCCAGAGGATAATGGGTTTGAGTCCCAGTACCCACATGACATCTCACAACCATTTGTAACTCAGTTCCAGGGGATTGGATGTCATTTGCTGGCCTCTGTAGGAACTCCATGCACAGACATACATGTGGGCAGAATGCCCATGCGTATAAATTATAAATAAATCTTGGGGCTGGAGAGGCAGCTCAGTTGTAAGAATACTGACTATTTTTCCACAGGACCTGGGTTTCATTCCCAGCATCCGCATGGCCATTCACAACTGTCTGTAACTCCAGTTCTAGGGGAATATGATGCCACCACCTGGCCTCCATGGGCACCAAACTCGAAAGTGGTGTGAAAACATACAGGCAGGCAAAACACTCATACACATAAACAATTTGAAAAGTAAATATTTAAAAAATTTGGCCAGAGCCAGGCGTTGGTGGTGCATGCCTTTAATCCCAGCACTTGGGAGGCAGAGGCAGGCTGATCTCTGTGAATTCAAGGCCAACCTGGTCTACAGATCTAGTGCCAGGACAGGCTCCAAAGCTACACAGAGAATCCTGTCTCAGAAAAAAAAATTTGGCCAGGCAGTGGTGGCACACTCCTTTAGTCCTAGCATTCAGGAGGCAGAGATGGTGGATCTCTGTGAGTTCAAGGCCAGTGTGGCCTACACAGTGAATTCCAGAACAGCCAAGGCTGTTACACAGAGAAATCCTGTCTCAAAAAAACGTGAGTGAGTGTGTGTATTTAAATTTAAGCTTACCTGCCTGAACTACTGTGTTGCACAAGCTCTCTAAAACATTTTTTAAAAGATTTTTTTAAAACTTATGTGTACATCTGTCTGAGTGTATCAAATGTGTGTAGGCTAGAAGACAGAGTCAGGTTTGTCTAGAACTAGAATTATGGGCAGTTTTGAGCCACTAGATATGGGAGCTCTGGAAAAGCAATGAGTGTTCTTTTCCACTACTAACCCATCTAAACCAGTGGTTCTCCTAATAACCCATTCACAGGGGTCACCTAAGACCATCAGAAAACATAGGTATTTACATTATGATTCATAAAAGTAGTAAAATCGAAGTTACGAAGTAGCAACAAAAATAATTTTATGGTTGGGGGTCACCATAATGTGAGGAACTGTATTAAAGGGTTGGATCGATAGGAAGGTTGAGAACCACTGCTCTAAACCACCTTTTTATTAGTGTTCTCAAGTAAATGTGCTTTTCCATTAAACCACTCAACCATCTCTCCAGCCCCTCTCTGAGCCATTTTATGGAAAGGGCTGGTAATTTGCCCTGAGTCATAAAGTGACTTCAGTGTAGTGAACTCAGTTTTCTCCCATGAGAACATGTGTATGTATATATGGCAAACTAGTGGGCTCGCATCATGATCCAGAAACAGTCTGATCTGAGAGACCTCAGTTGTTTGGTCTTCAAGTAGCTAGCAAGCCCCCCCCCCCCCAGTTTCTTGGTGCTGTGTTTTCTCCAACTTTACAGTAGCATTATCCTATCATCATCATATTGGGCAGCTCCCTTTGTTTGCTTTCAGTATACCCAGAAGAAGCAGTATTTATAGGCGACTCTTGTATTATCCCTCTTTAGAGATAGGATGGGATCTAGTATCTTTCACAGTCTTAGCAGCTAATGGCACAAGCAGTACCAAACCCTTAGAAAATGATTAAACCCAAAAGGCAGAAGTGGGCCCTAGATTAATAGCTCTCAGTTCATCAATTCACTTTCAAGGAAAATTTTTGTGAGCCTCTGAATCCAGTCAGTTACAACACAGACTGTTTAAAGAAGTGAAAGATTAGGATTGGAGGACCAGAGTTCAGATTCCAGCACCCACATCTGGTAGCCTATAACTGCCTGTTATTCCAGCTCCAGGGGTTCCAGTGCCCTCTTCTGGCCTCCCCAAGCACCTTCCCTCACACACATATCCACACTCATACCCACACACATACGCATAATTTTTAAAATTAATAAAAGAAATCTCTAAAAAAAAAAAGGAAAGAAGTCAAAGTTAAAGAAAAAAAAAAAAGCAAACATTCTAAAAGCTGAGAAAGAATTGCCTTCCTCCAGGCTGGAGAGATGGCTCAGAGGTTAAGAGCACTCACTGGCTGCTCTTCTAAAGGTCCTGAGTTCAATTCCCAGCAACCACATGGTGGCTCACAACCATCTATTATGGGATCTGGTGCCCTCTTCTGGCATGATGAGACACATGCAGACAGAATACTGTATACATACTAAATAAATAAATTACTAAAGAAAGTAAAAAACAACAAACAAAAAAGAATTGCCTCCCTCCAACCCCACTGCCAACTTGTTGCCCTGTGTGATCTTTCTTCTAGTCCATCTCTCTCAGTCCATCCCACCCTCCCCAGGGCCGGAGTCTACTCCAGAAGCTGAGCAGTCATGACATTTGCTGAGGACAAGACCTATAAGTATATCCGAGACAACCACAGCAAGTTTTGCTGTCTTGACGTTTTGGAGATCCTGCCTTACCTGCCCTGCCTCACAGCCAGTGACCAGGTGAGCCAGGGAAGCCACAGCTGGCCAGTGCACCAGGCACTGGGCAGTGCCATCCAAGTTCAGCCTGTCCCAGCCCTTTTCCCAGGCCAGGGCTGCTGAGGCTGCTGCCTGTCCTGCTTTTCTGACCTTTAGATTAAGCTTATTCACAGTGGCTTTTCTAACCTGGTTGAACTCCTTTCGTTTTTATGTTGCACTCAAGAACATGATTCATTCTCTCATAGGACCTTATCTTGGACTAAAGTCTGGAGTGTCAGTTCTGAGGACTCCACCAGTGTCTTGCCTCATCAGGACTTGCTGCAGGCTCGTGCCCTCACCAGCCATGAAGTGGTTTATAGTTCACCTCTTCTCAGGTGGCATGGGCTCCTGTGCTCCCAGCAGCTGCCTGTGCTGTTGGGGCCTCCTGTTCTAGGTGTCTTGGGAGTATTGTTGTTACCTGTGCAGTCTGCCGTGCAGATACTGTTACAGCTTAGGTCTGGGCAATTAGGAGAGTGTGCTGGCCTCACCTTGTGTTGGGCATCCATTGGGACACCCTGCCATCTAGTGTGTAGTAAATATTTCCTGTGGTTTGTCACTTGTTTTTCTTTTCTTCTCCTCTTCCTTCTATTCCTCTGCCAAGTTTCCCTCTTCCTTTCCTTTCTCCTCTCCCTTCCTTCCTCTTTCTTCTTCAGACAAGGTCTTACCGTATAGCCCAGTCTGGTTTCAAACCCATAATCCTCCTACCTCAGCCTCCCTAGTGTTGGGACTACAAGCTGACTGATAGTTTTCAAGCAGGAAACCAGTGAATAAAAAAATACTACAGCTGATGTTATATTTCTAGAATTTCCCTGGTATTCTTACTTGTCTTGCTTCCCATTCTTGGTTCCCTCCCTTTTCTCTGCCCCCTTTTTATCCCATTGTTGTTGGGCCCCTATTCCTTCCCAACTCATTCCCTCTTCTCTTTGCTTTAGTGGCTGTCTGATTCAAGCTTTGCATCCTTTGCTGCTTTGCTTCTGCTAAGCCTCTGCCTCCTTACCTGTAAAGTCTGTAAAGTGGGGATGATTATAGCATTTATTTATTTATTTATTTATTTATTTATTGGTTTTTCAAGACAGGGTTTCTCTGTGGCTTTGGAGGCTGTCCTGGAACTAGCTCTTGTAGACCAGGCTGGACTCGAACTCAACAGAGATCTGCCTGCCTCTGCCTCCCTAGTGCTGGGATAAAAGGTGTGCGCCACCACTGCCCGGCGATCATTTAATGGGACAGTGCCTGTAAAACTAGACATGGCCAGAGCCTTTTCCTGGCGGCACCCTTTATTGTTGTTGACTGCTCCTCCTTACTCCATACTTGTGCTACCACCCTGGCCTTGTCCTCCCTCTCGCCCAGTATCAGGTAGCTGCCTTCTTCTTGTGGCTTTCTTAGTGTCCCCTTTGCAGTAGCTCTCGTCTGAGTGGAGAAAAGCCTGGGCAACCTGGCCTGAGTAGGGTGGCTGTACTGTCTTCCAGGATCGACTGCGGGCTTCCTATACGCAACTAGGGAACCGGGACACACTCTGGGAACTCTTCAATAAGCTCCAGAGACGGGTTGGCTGGGTAGAGTTCTTCATCCGGGCACTGAGGATCTGTGAGCTGCCTGGACTGGCTGACCAAGTGACTCGAGTGTATCAGAGCTACCTGCCTCCTGGTGAGCATCCTGCCCTAGCCTTCTTCCTGGGACCCTGCCTGTTTCTCGGGCTTGCAATCTTCCTCTTCCTTCACCTTGCACCTCCTGCCTTTCTATTTTCATCCCTCTCCATCATAGGATCTACCCAGGCTTAATCCAGCTGAGCCACTCACTAGCTGTGTCCCTTCGGCAATATTCTTTAATTTTGTAGTCTGTCACAGTGGGGCTAATGGCCACATCCCTCATGTGTGGCTGCAGTGGATAGACACCACAGGGTGATGCCTGTTGAGTGCTTAGCTAGAGTTCCTCGTCTCCCCTATGCCCAGCACAAGGCACCTGCCTGCCGTCAATTTTGTAGCTCATGTGTTTGCCTCCCTACTTGGTCCTCATTTTCTCTCCGATCTCGTTTCTCTACAATGTAGAGTGTAGAATCTATACCCAATCGCTTACCCCACTCTTCATTTCTCTTTCCCTCCCCAAGGTTTCTCTAAGAACATCCTGGTTTCTAAGCCCAACACCCAGCTGCCCAGTTGCTCCTTAATTACTCTTAATGTTTGTACCAAGTCATGTGATGGTGGGGGGTGGGGGGTTTGTGGGGTGGCGTGGGATGGTGGGGGGTGGGGGGTGGGGGGTGAGGGTGGGGTGTTGGTAATTGGGCCTGAAGAGAAGATCCAGGAAGAAAAATCAAGCCAGTCTTGAACACACCATGTTTGCTTTTCTCTTTCTTTTCCTCCCTTCTTTCCAAGTTGGTCTCTTCATTTGTGGAAGTCAGCAGTGCTCTCTCAAGTAGAAGTGACTACTATGGTAGGGTCAGAGATGGGCTGTGGCAAGGGTTAGTTGGAGATGACAGCCGTGAGGAGAAAGCCTTGGGACAGAGAGGAGTGACCACTGACAGTGTAACTGGGCTCCTGCCCCTCCATCTCCCTTGACACCTTTTCTGTCTTCTCCAGCGCCTGTCCCTCCTGCCCCCTCCCCACGAATTCATCCCACGTCAGGTCATTTAAGTTATTTAAGGGAGACATCTCAAAAGCTTCCAGGCCTCTTCTGTTACCAGGATAATTCTGATTATTCTTGGCATCGCTACATCTTTGTCCTTTAGGGACTCCACTCCGCTCCCTAGCTCCCCTGGAGTCACCAGCAGTTCCTGCTACAACCTCTGGACCTTCTGCTGCTCCAAGTCACAGCATCCCTGACAATGGCTACCAAGAGGGACTAGGCTACCCCAGGCCTGTCCAGGACACCCAGCCACCAAATTCCCCAGGAGAGGTAGGTTCCCAGTCTACTTCAAGGCCCCTTGCTTTTGTGTGCTTGCCTGCTTCTGCCCACCCAGCCTTCCAGAAGCCCCTTCCTACCTCCTGAAAACCATGCCTTATCTCTGCTAAGAATACTAGGTTTCCTTCATGAGCTACCTGACTGATGGCCAGGCCTGTAGCCACCCCAGCAGTCTGTCATCAGCTAACTAAGAGGCCCTGGTCTTGAGGTCTTTACAGTGGTCATGTGACATGTTGGGCTGGGTAAAAGACTAGGGGATAACCAGATCTGAATGTGAGGGAGGTGATATGAAGGTTCAGGAAGTCATGGGTGGATGATAACAGGGTTCTTTATTGTTAACAGTGAAGTCAGGTATGGAGGAAAGATAACTAGTTCTACTGAGATGAAGTGAGTCAGCCATGGGCTGTAGAAGAGATGCCAAACTGGGTCTGAAGCCATAGGATCTGCACAGAAACTGCTGAAGAAAGGGCTATATGCAGTGGTTACAGAGCCAGACACAGACACATGGATAGGGAACTTGGGCAGTACATGGTTTTTTGTTTTTTGGTTTTTTTTTTAAGGCACTTGAGGTCATCCTAGGAGGCTGGGATGTAGTTCTCAGTTGGTGGAGTTCTTGTCTAACATGCACACAACCCTGAATTCAGTTTCCAGTACCATATAAGCTGGGCAGATAACTCATACCTATAAGTGTGATACCCAGGAAGTAGAGGGAGGTAGATCAGAAGTCACATAGTAAGTTCAAGGCTAGGGTGAGATACATAAGACCCTATCTCAAAACAAAGCAAAAATAGTAACATCAACAACAAAACCAAATAGATACCAGGGACTTATATTAGACAAGTATACTATTGACGAGCTACCCCCTGGTATGTGAAGATAACCTATGGCCAGAAACAAGGCAAGGGTTCCCGAGATGCTGGGAACAGGAGCTGGAGCTTATAGATGCCCCATAAATGTCTGTTGCTCTTTGTCAGTTCTTGGGAGAAGCAGCTGCTTTATTACCATTTCTTCTATTGCAGAGTTTAGAGCAACCCCCACAGGTCAGCCTCGGGGCCATCCCGAGGATGCTGTCATCTAACCTGCAGGCTGTCAGCCCTCAGCACTCCAGAGAGCATCATGGTCAAGAGCCAGAAGTGGGTGGAACCTACACAGCAAGTATGCACAGAATGTGGTATTACAGGGTCTCTCAGACCTCCCAAGTGAAGGTTGGGGTTACAGTTACCACCTGGCCTTTCTGGGACAGGATGCAGGATAGGAATAAAGGGTATTCACTTCAGAGAGTGTGCAGTGTGTGTGTGTGTGTGTGTGTGCACGCAGCAGCTTATATTCATTAGCACGTGGCTCAGTTGGGTAGGTCTTCTGGTCTTGTTGATGAACTCTTACGTACTCCCTGACATATACATTTGTTCTGTTAGTATTCATTGGCTGGCGCCTCTTCGTTCTCTCATCCTCTAGCACACAAACCCAATTCATAGCATCTGGGCAAGGCTCTGGGTAAAAGAAAGGCAGGGCTGTGAGGCATAGACTCGAAACTGGCCTTATTACTCCTGCCTTGTTCTGTGGTCAAAACAAGTTATAAGGCCAACCCAGATTCCGAGAACGGAGAAACTGGCAGAATCACACCGGAGGGTGTGATGGCCGTGTAGGTGTGCATTGCTGTACATTGCTGCATGTGAGACAGAGTTAGCACTATTTCTGCACTCAGGTAAAAGGACCTGGTAGGGATTGACCAGGACCTGAATGAGGGATAGCATAGGACTAGCTGATGAGGGAAGCTCTTTTTCTTTTTTTTTTCCAAGACAGGGTTTCTCTGTATTGCTTTGGAGGTTGTCCTGGAACTCGCTCTTGTAGACCAGGCTGGCCTCAAACTCACAGAGATCCCCCTGCCTCTGCCTCCCGAGTGCTGGGATTAAAGGCATGCACTACCAACACCCAGCAAATTCTTTTTCTTTTTAAATAAATTTTTATTTAAATTAAAGACAATCTTATTTTACATACCAATCCCAGTTCCCTTTCCCTCCCATCCTCCCGTTCCCCCCACTGACCCCCCCATCCCACCTCCCATCCACTCCTCAGGGAGGGCGAGGCCTCCCATGAGGGGTCATCAAAGTCTGTCACATCATTTGGGGCAGGACCTAGGCCCTCCCCCATGTATCTAGGCTGAGAGAGTATCCCTCCAAAGGGAATGGGCTCCCAAAGCACATTCGTGTACTAGGGATAAGTACTGGTTCCACTGCCAGAGGCCCCATAGACTGCCGAGGCCTCCCCACTGATAGCCAGTGGGGGCCTGGTTTGGTCCTATGCTGGTTCCCCAGCTGTCAGACTGGGCTCGTGAACTTCCACTCGACGAAGGAGCTCTTAAACACCGTTCTGCACAAGGAGGTCTCTAGTTCCCAGCTGTGGTAGTTAGAATGGGAATAGCTCCTGGAGGCTCATGCATCTCAATATTTAGTCCCTAGTTGGTGGAACTATGTAGAAAGAACTAGGAGGTTTGGCCTTGTTGGAAGAGGTGTGTCAAAGAGGTGGGCTTGGAGGTTTCAAAAGCCCATGCCATCTTCAGTTAGCGATCTCTCTCTCTCTCTCTCTCTCTCTCTCTCTCTCTCTCTCTGTGTGTATGTGTGTGTGTGTGTGTATGTCTGTCTCTCTGTGTCTCTGTCTGTCTGTCTGTCTCTGTCTTTCTGCCTTATGCTTGTGGATCAGATGCAAGCTCTCAGCTACTGCTCTATCTCCATGCCTGCCTGCTGCCATGCTCCCCACCATGATCCTCATGGACTCTAACCCCCTGGAACTGTGAACCCAAAGTTAAGTGATTTCTTTTGTAAGTTGTCTTGGTCACGGTATTGCCACAGTGATAGAAAAGTAACCAAGACACCAGAAAAATTACTAAAGTGTTTCAACTCCAGATGAGTCAGTCACGGGTCAGAGGAACCTGATGCTCCCCCTCAGGACTGTACTCTATCCACCCTGGCTTTCCAGGCTAGAATGGCTCACCTCCACTTTCCTAACTCTGTTCTGTTTGTCACAGGCGCCTGGTCTGCCCTCAGTGCCCTAGAATTGCTGTGTGAAGCAGTTAAAGGTTGGGGGAAGTCATCTTAGTGCTCCCAAATGCTTTCATTCCCAAACATCCCTCAGTCACAAGGCTTTGTAATATCAGCTTGTCACAAGACATTTCTCAGGAAATACTTCTGTGAACTATGGCACTAAGGGCATTTCATTTGTAGCATGTTTGTGATCACAGGTGCCTGGAGATTTTCTATTAGGCTTAAGGGGAGACATCACTTCTAATGTTTGTCAGCCTCGGCATGTGTGTCCTGAGAGTTCTCTGAAGAGTCTGATGTCATTACCCTTATGTCCTGTTAACACCTGCTGCTTCTGGTTTCCCCAGATCAAGCTCCCTTTCTGGGACTACTAGGTCCTTATTCCTTGGGGACGTATGCTTGTGGTTCTGTTGAGCCATCCTGTTGTCCCTTGCCCTGATTCAGGACTGCTCTTGCTAGAAGGCCAGGACAAACTAGAATAGGCAGAAGTGGGAGAAGAGGCAAGTGTCCAAGGTGGAAGAACAAAAGAATAATTTATAACGAGCATCAAGCTTTTGGGTGCGGATGAAGGCAGATGCCATTTTATTTTGGTGATAGGACCAACTAGGGCTCTGCGTCAAGGTCTGAGTCTTCTCCACGAGCAGGAAATTGGGAAACCAGATGTGATATGGACTGTAACCAATGGCATGGGGACCCTTCTCTAGCCCTTAATGTAACACAATCCTTTGGATTTGTGTCTGTTTTCGCCTGTAGGTGTTGACTCCATTTCCACACCACTCCATGGACCTGTGTCTCCAACTGTTTCCTTCCAGCCCCTTCCACGTACCACCCTGCGGACAAGCCACTTGCCTGGGGTCACAGTATCAGTTCCATCTCCTGATACCTCCTTGTCTTCCTCTTCCACTGGATTGGCTTTGGCAAAGGGAGCTGGTGACCAGGCCAAAGCTGCCACCTGTCTCAGCACAGATGGGGGAGTACCCACCAATTCTGTGACCACTAGCTCAGTGCCTTCCTCTACCAAATTGGTACCAGTAACTACTGTGTCTTCCAAAATGTCCTCCAAGTTGCCCATCAGTACAAAGTCCACTGCTGCAATGCCTTCTACTGTGCTCACCAATATAGCACCGTCAAAATTACCCATCAACTCAGCATATGCTGGCACAATGCCATCCAAAGTGCCTATTAGTGTGGCCAAAGCACCTGCCAATGTACTACCACCCAATAGGAGCAACAACCAAGCCAAGGTGAGTCTTTGTTCCTCCTAATAGTCACTCAGTCCACTTTGCCAAGACAGCTGGTCCTCTGCCCTGCCCTCTGACCCTTTTAGTCTCTGTTCTGTCTCTGGTCTGGTTCTTCAAGGTGTTGGGACAGAGGGGAATCAGCCTCATCCAGCACTTACCCCTTGTTTTCTAGGAGGCATGATAGACCTTCGGCAGAGTGGGGCATGGGACCACCCCCACTGACACGTACATTAACTCACTTGGAGCTCAGAGCCCCCAGTTAAGCAGTACCATTTCGTAGATGAAGTAGTGAGGGATGAACTTGATGGCTCATGTGCCTTGTTCATTGAACAGTGGTCTCAAGCATCTAGCTTGGAGCAGCTACTCTAACTCAGTGACCCCTACAGCTACTTCCCCCAAGGCCTGTTTACCCTAAAGGAACCAAGTTCACAAGCCTTGGATTCTTGGGCTGCCCTGTGACTCTCAGGCCCAGGTAGTGTAAGATGGGTCACACCCCAGCAAGGGCTCCCTAGCAGTGATGCTCACAGCAGCTCAGTGAGTGGGAGAGGGCTGCTCTGGAAGGCTTACTGCAGGGTCTTGGTCACTTCCCTCCCATCTGTGTGTGTATCACTGATGAGTTGAACCTCCAAGAGAGGGTGGTCTGAGCTATTGTGGGATGCTAGTTCATGTCCTGGCCACACAACCAAGTTTGTCTCCCTGTCATCCGAATCCCTTCCAACATTCTCCTTGTGTTTCCAGGAGACCCTAGAGCCTCCAGCAAGCACAGTCACCACTAGAAGCAGCTTGCCCAGACCAGATATCAGTTCCAGGAGCTTGCACTCTGGGCCAGAGATGGGCAAACCAGGTGCACTGTTGTCCCAGGTGGACGAGCCATTCTCAGGATGCTCTATGGACCTTGCCATCAGCCCTAGCAGCTCTTTGGGCTCCGAACCCAATCATGGTCCAGAGGAGAATGAATATTCGTCCTTTAGGATCCAGGTGGATGAAGACCCCAGTGCTGACCTTCTGGTGGGAAACCCTGGGCCACTAGCTATCCCGGAGTCCCCAGAAGTCGAAGAGCTTTGTGTCAGTCAAATATCCTGGGCTAAGTGGCTCGGGGCAACTGGTGCACTCTTGGCTGCATTCCTGGGAGTGATGCTGTACCGTAGTAGGCACCTGGCCCAATGAAGATTCAGCTGTGTGCCACGCACTTGCCCAGTTCTGCCAAGCATGGTCTCTAGGCTCGGACTGGTGGAGGTTAAGTCAGGGGAACTTAGAGATGGTGAGGTCCATCAAGCCATCTGTGGGGTAGGGGAGAGACATTCTTTCCATCCTAGTTCATGACATCTTCTGGTCTTTAGCTCTTTGGGGCACTGGATTACCTCCACTGCTTCTGGCCTGCCCACATGGTGGTTTAGGATTTTGTGCTATGTGCTCCTAAGGAGGTATCCCCACCAACATCATCCCTGTTGGCTGAAGCCTGAAGATGGGGAGGTATCACACTTCTGTTGACAGAGCCTCTCATCCTGCCCAGGTCTTTTGAAACACAAGCACGGGTGTATTGGCGAGAGCTCCCGTAACATCGTGTGCCTTCCACCAGCAGCCTGGCCTAAGGCCTCGGTACTAGAGCCTGCAGCAGAGTGGCTGGTTTCTAGGGAGCTTTGTTTAAGTCCTGTCTCTCTGGTCCCCCTCCACAGTCAGGCAACCCTAAGGGAAGGTCTGGAGGTTCCCTGTGGACTCTGAGAAAGCCAGAAGCAGCTGCCAGGCCTGAGAAAGACACTAGGAGCCCTGCTCCAGCCTCCTTACTCCACCTCTTCACCGCCTCCCTCCTGGTCTCCATTCTCTTTAGTCTCCTACACTGGATGATGGAATACCTAGTGGGCAGAGCTCAGGCTGGGTTTGAATTTCAGTTCTAAGCTTACTCTGGCTTTAGCAGATGTTTAGCTTCTGTAGTCTTTTTTCCCAGTGTGGACAGTGAACCCTTTCACTGGGCTTTTCTGAGACTGAAGAACATAGATATTTACGTAGTGCCTAGCCCAGAGGGTGTGACTACCAAGTAATTACACTCCTGCCCAGCCTGGTTGAACTAAGGTGAGCTTGAGAGGCAGAGTACATGGTAGTAATGTTACCCTCTTTGCCTCTGAGAGAACAGCTTTGGCCTACATAGTGCTTCTGTCTCTCTGGCCCTGTGATCTCTGGCAAAGTGTGCACCTCTGGGCTTCAATTTTCTCTCCTGTGAGATGCGGCAAATATGCATACATATGTGCTAATGTGCTCTAATGTTATCAAGATAATTAAATTAAAAGTTTATCTGTGAAAACCTGTGAGTTCTGCATTTCTTAGGAGTTGGTATCCAACTCCTTATGTTATGACTTTTAAATGGAAAGGTGCTGGGTCTCTTGGCTTCACAGTTAGAGACAGGTGCTAGCATATTCTGTTTTCTTCCATGGGCAGGAAGTTTAGTCACATCAGACAATGAGGTAGGTTTAGGCCAATTTTGGTAGTGCACAGCTTTAGTCCCAGCACTCGGGAGGCAGAGGTAGGTGAATCTCTGTGAGTTTAAGGCCAACCTGGTCTCCAGAGCAAGTTCCAGGACAGTGAGAGCTGCACAGTGAGATCCTGTCTCCAGAAAAGAAAAGAAATACAATGAGACATATTGAGGGTATGCGCATGGGTTTTTAAAGGTACCCTTTGCTGGACAAGGGATAGGCATGGAGCCAACTCTATCTCAGCTCTGTTGTGAACATAAACCTTAGAGGCATTAGGGATGGGGGTGGCTATCACAATCTTCCTTGCATGTCCTAGGGAAAAATGACCTAATGACCTGTACTTTCTGAATTTCAAGGCAAACTTCAACCAGTTCCATGAATTCTAGATGTAATTTGTCCCCAAGTTGTCTGCACTATTTTTTTAAGGTTTATTTATTTATTATGTGTACAGTATTCTGCCTACATTCTGCATGCCAGAAGAGGGCACCAGATCCCATTATGGATGGTTGTGAGCCACCATGTGGTTGCTGGGAATTGAACTCAGGACCTCTGGAAGGGCAGTCAGTGCTCTTAACCTCTGAGCCATCTCTCCAGCCCCCTGCACTACTTTTTTTTTTAATCACCTGTGTTCCTTTTCTTGTATTATAATTAATTAACTAATTAGGTTTTTGGAGACAGGGTTTCTCTGTGTAGCCCTGGCTGTCCTGGAACTTATTCTGTAGATCAGGCTGGCCTTGAACTCACAGAGATCCACTTGCCTTTGCCTCCCAAGTGCTGAGATTGAAGGCGCGCACCACCACTGCCAGGCTCACCTTTGTTTCTAACCAACCCCTGGACGCCCCTCTCCAGATGCCATACTGGCTATGCTAGAGAATGGTTGTGCAGGGCACTAGTCTCAGTGTGCTGCCATTCCAGGGTATGAAAGAGACATCTCAAGGATACAATATGTAGCCCTACAGAGTGTCACCCAGATGGTGAGATGTCAGGCACAGTAATAGGTCACTAGGCATCTCTTAAGTATGTGTAGGAAGTGCCAAAGGCCTTCGCAGATTTTGATGACATCTTCATCTCAGCTGGTATCAACTTGGAGGCACCTCAGATGCCAGCTTCAGGAAGAGGAAGGCTTTGGCCAGTGTCAGGTCCTAGGAGTCCTATGTTTGTGTGTTGCTTTCTGCTGCAGCAGGATTCATAGCTGTGTAGAAGGGACAGTTGGGGCAGGTTACCATAGCAGCCGTGGTCTGAACAAGATGAACCAAGCAGCTATGTGTACCACAGGTGTCTGGTACACATACTATAGACTCGAGGAAACACGATTTCCATTGGGATGATCATTGTCTGGAGGAACCAGTGCTTCCTAAGCCACTATGCCCAGATTCACCTGCAGAAGAGGCCTGCCCATCTTCTTTCACTGGTGAAGAATTCCCCAACGCCCAAGCACTCTATTGCCCTATCCCCAGCAAGTTCCAATGGGCCCTGTTGTGATGAATTGGGTACAATGCCACCCCTTCACTTCCTTCCCCTTGCTAGATGCCCTCAATGTGACTCTGTCAGAGATGAAAGAGACACCCATGGGTATGCTCCATTACATCAGGGACTTGTGTTCTATGCCACCTCAGGCCCAGCAACCTTTTCTAGCAGGCAGAAATTGAAATTCTGTAATATGACTCCTTCCTGTATCTTGTTCCAGTCCCTCTACCCACGTCATCTTTCTTTTTTCTTTTCTTTTTCTTTTTTCTTTTCTTGGTTTTTGTTTTGTTTTTGTTTTTCGAGACAGGGTTTCTCTGTGTAGCTTTGGAGCCTATCCTGGCACTCACTCTGGAGACCAGGCTGGCCTCAAACTCACAGAGATCCACCTGCCTCTGCCTCTGCCTCCCGGGTGCTGGGATTAAAGGCGTGGGCCACCAACGCCCGGGCCCCAAGTCATCTTTCTGTCCACCATGAGGTTAAACATCCTCCTCTGTGCATTCCCACCACTGTGACAGTGAGACAGTCTGCCTGTCCTAGGTAGGGCTACTATTGCTATGATGAAACTCCATGACCAAAGGCAAGTTAAGGGGAAAGGGATTCTTTGACCTACACTTGCATATCACTGTTCCTTACTGAACGAAGTCAGGACAGGAACTAAAACAGGGCAGGAACCTGGAAGCAGGAGCTGATGCAGAGATCATGCTGCTTACTGGCTTGCTCCTCATGGCTTGTTCTGCTTTGAGAGCCTAGAGGTTTTTTGTTTGGTTTGGTTTTTTGGGTTGTGTTGTTGTTTTCGAGGCAGGATTTCTCTGTGTATCTCTGGCTGTCCCAGAACTCACTCTGTAGACCAGGATGGCCTCACAGAGATCTGCCTGCCTCTGCCTCCTGAGTTCTGGGATTAAAGTCATGTGCAGCCATGCTCGACGAGCCTGCTTTCTTGTAGAACCCAAGCCCAGGGATGGCACAACCCACAATGGGCTGAGCCTTCTCCATCAATGTTGCTTTTGTTCATGCTTTTATTTTTTTATATATAATAGTGATAGAAACTATAACTAAGACAGTCTCTATATTTGTCGGGGACTCACAAGCAGGCACTGGCTGGGAAATGCTAGTGGGAGGGAGATTGAGGTCCTGTCCTAGGAGGTCGTTGGTATGGGGAATACAAAAGTTATTGATATAAGGATGTCTTTATACAGATAAACACCAGCCAAACACAAGCAGGAGAGAGTGCCCTCAGGCAGCAGGCTAGGGAGCCCAGGAAAAAGAGACCGCTCCCACGACTGTCCTCTCCTTAAGAATTCTCCACCCGGGTCATCCTGAACCTCCCCGACCATTCCCTCATGGGCCTGGCCCGTGTAGTCAAGCACCTGTAGCGGCTCCTAAGAGGAGGGGCTACAGTGTCTCCCTACAAAAAGTGACATCTCATGACTGGCTTTTTTTTTTTTTTTTTTTTTTTTTTTTTTTTTTTTTTGGTTTTTCGAGGCAGGGTTTCTCTGTGTAGCTTTGGAGCCTATCCTGGCACTCGCTCTGGAGACCAGGCTGGTCTCAAACTCACAGAGATCTGCCTGCCTCTGCCTTCCAAGTGCTGGGATTAAAGGCGTGCGCCACCAATGCCCGGTTTATGGCTGGCTATTTTGATCATAAGATGTGGAGAAGTGGTTGTTTGGAGGTTGGGAGCTGACATCTCTAGCTCTGCATTGATTTCTGCACAGGTTGAGTCTAGCTCCCTTGGCTTCCCAGAATGCTCACTCCCAGGATTTTGTATCAGACTTCTATTGCCAGCTAGGAACAGTCACTTTCCATTTACAGGTTCATTTTCTGAAACAGAGGCATGAGCATTGAGAAGGGTTGCTACAGTGGACTAGATGGAACATCCCATTTTCTCAAGCTCTTCACCCCTCCCTGAGGTCAGAGGTGCCTGACTGTGGAGATGAGTCTATGGCCAGGGGGCATTCCTAGCTACTTGGAGTCCACACCCACATCCTAAATGTTTCAAACAACGGAGAGGCAAATATCAATCACTCTGCACCCATATGAAACTTCTGTGAATGAGGCAACCTTATACCTGAGCCTACTACCGGGCTGATATGGGACATGAGTGCTAATTCAGTTGTCATGCCCTTTACCTTAGCTTATAGTTCTTCCTCTTTAGGAAAGCTAATTTCAGGACTCTTACTCAGACTATCCAAGTGGTGTCTTTGGAACTTTGCTAGACAATCCTATAAAAGATTCATTAGGATTCTATTTTTCTTTTAAATTGTCAATTAGATGTCAAAAAGAAGACACCTGACTTCTTTTACAAAGCTTCCAGGTGCTTGTTCCTTATGCAGGAGTCTGCTGTAACAAATGACTAATTACAGTTACATCATTCTTCTACAGAACTCTGGTACATGGTCCAGCTAGTAGTACAATTGCAACCTTATGTGTTAACTCTCTCTTTAACATTATATGCTGTTAATCTTGTAAAATTTCTTTCCTCAATAACTTTGTCTCTTAATGTTCTCATTACCTACCAAACTATTTTTTTGTTTGTTTGTTTGTTTTCGAGACAGGGTTTCTCTGTGGCTTTGGAGACTGTCCTGGAACTAGCTCTTGTAGACCAGGCTGGTCTTGAACTCACAGAGATCCGCCTGCCTCTGCCTCCCGAGTGCTGGGATTAAAGGCGTGCGCCACCAATGCCCAGCTGTGTTCTGGATCTTTGTATCTGTTATGTTTTATTGTAGCCCTTTGGATGAACCCTCCTCTGAGGCACTTTGCTGCTTGAATATGTAAAAGAGAGATCAGGGGCCCCTAAACCCCTGAAAACAGTTTGGGTGACCTCTGAAAGGGGAACTAATGGGTCACGGGCCACTTACCTCATCACTCTTCTCTCCACTCTGGGCATTGTTTTTGAGACTCAGAACTAAAACATCTGGGTTGAAGACTTCTTTGCATCAGTTAACCTTTCTGTCTCACCAGCACTCAAAACACAAACAAACAAACAAAAAAAACCCAAAAACCAAACAAACCTTAGAGAAATCTCAGATCAACTTAACATCCTTCAGGACCAACTTGATTCTTTGGCTGTTGCAGTACTCCATAACTAGATGTGACTACTGCTGAGGATGGGCTCTGTGCCCTCCTCCAAGAATGATGCTGTGTCTGTACCAATAAATAAATCCTCACTGGCTTGAGATGGGGGGAGGGTCTGTGGTAGTTTGAATGTAATTGGCTCCCATAAACTCATAGGGGTGGCTCTATTTGGAGGTATGACTTTGTTGGAGTGGGTGTGGCTTTGTTTCAGTAAGTGTGGCCTTGTTGAAGGAAGTGTGTCAATGTGGGGGTGGGCTTTGAGGTCTCATATATGCTCAAGCCATACCCAGTGTC